TGACCTTATGGAGCAGAAAATGAAATGGATACAGCAGCAGTACTGGGGGGAATTCATAAAAACTGGATGGCCACGAATCAGCTTCTCTCTTATCTGTGACACTAAATTCAGGAGTTAAATCTTACAAATGCTTTCACTACATGAACTAGTATTTGTGTATCTCACAGCTGTAGATCCTCAAATCATCTCTGAATTGGTGCTGACACTGTCCTTCCTTCTGGAGGGTGGCTACCTTGTTCCCCATGGTCCCTGTGTGTGTTGTAAAGTAGCCACCACTCCAAGCTCACTCCTGTGATGGACTACAATCTCATGTTTAGTTTATTATTTTGTATTAAGATTGTTGTAAAGTAGTCACCACTCCAAGCTCACTCCTGTGATGGACTACAATCTCATGTTTAGTTTATTATTTTGTATTAAGATTGTTGTAAAGTAGTGACCATTACAAGCTCACTCATGTGATGGACTACAATCTCAATACAATTAGAAAATTAAACCTGAGATTGTAGTCCATCATGGAATCGAGCTTGGAGCGGTGGCTACACTACACATCCAGGGACAATAGGGAATATAGGTAGCCACCCTCCAGAAGGAAGGACAGTGTCAGCCTGAATACAGAGATGATTTGAGGATCTACAGCTGAGTGATACACAAATATGATACATTTTTATTACTAGTTCAGGTACTTGAATGTATTTGTAAGATGTAATTCCTGAGTTTAGTGTCACTCTAACTGAACAAACTGAAGAGAGAAGCTGATTGCTTGTCATTGGAAACTGCTCCAGATTCTGTCTGGTCCAGTTGTGATAAAGGAAGGAAGTCTGTATAAGAGAAAACTATCAGCTGCAGTTGTTATGAATCCCCCAATGTTCCTGTAGTCCTGTGTGAGCTCCTATATGGAACATCTGGTGTGTGTCACTTCTGATGAGTACCCCCACTAGACTGTATCCTCTGTCAGTAATGTTTTCTAAACAACATACATCTGTAAATTATGACAATCGTTCTACAATCTGGTGCAGGAAATAATTATCTAATACTAATCACTTACTCCTTGGAGCTGCCAAAAGTACCTACAAAGCTACCAACACCATACAGATAGAAAATCAGCAAAAGTCCTATAACATCATTTGGTAACGTCTTATGATTGATTGATTGATTGATTATAATTTCATTCTTTTTATTTGGTAACCTCAGGACTAATATTTAAAAATCAAATTTTTTGTTATCTTTGGCATCCCAGGCAAAGATACAAATGTACCAGTGTTAAATCAAAGCCAGAGAACTTTTGTAAGGGAGCTTTCACAAAACAAAAATCTGACTTATTAAATCCAAGGGCTGCGTTGCACATGAGCTGGTTCTAATAAATGATGGCAGAGTCAGCATTCTAAAGAGTTAAAAAGGCCTGGGAGCTAGGAGGCAGAAAACTGACGCTCGTGTGTACCGAGGTCGCACTGTAGCAGTGACCATGGAGCGAGTGTTAGTAGTGATCGATGTGCAGTGTATATATCATTCTATAAAGCATATGCTGTGAGTACACAAACACTTCATCGATATATTTCCCCATACACGTAGACACCACCAAACGATCTGCTCTGCACTTGTACAGCTGAAAGTGAAGCGGAATTCTGGACCTGCAATGTGACTTCAATTGAGTGCGATTCTCTGATCTGGTCGGGCTTGCAGACGCTGACATTTTTCCGAATGGTTTTAATTAAGGGTGTGCCCCGATCCTGCTGTCTGTGCTAGACTAGTCTGCTGCAGGCTTGTCACCGAATGGGATGATCTGATGAAGTCATTTAGGTGGCAGCTAGACTGGCAGGTGGGCCAATTCTTCACAGTCGCCATGCACATATGGCTAGGTGGCACGAAGACTCAGCTGGGTTGCCCACAGAGTTCAGGAACATCCCAGTCCTGCTGCTGCAGACAAGACTCCCAGATTACTGTACTCATCATGACAGCCAGCCAGCTCTACTGTTTTTATTCCCCGCAGCAAAACAGAAGCAGATCAATTAAACACAAGCTCACCTGTGTCTGCTGATGTGGAGTACACCTGTTCAGTACCAGGGGCAAGTAACGACTAACAGCAATGACATGTGCACCATCACAACACAAACTGCACTCATCAAGCCTGGACCAGCTGCATGCAACTAAGGGTTAACCCAAACCAGAAGGCGCCTTATATGCCTTGGGTGAGATGGGCTCCCCTTCATTCTGAGTCCAATCCAACACAACACACATAAGGCTCAATTCACAAAGCTGATACTCCAGGATTAAAAAAATGATAGTTGTATTAAGCTGAGTCTAGAGATCTAAAATTACAGTCACATGACTAAAAAGAAAGATTCGTATCCTTGGGTATTAGCTTTGTGAACTGAACCTACAGTCATTAGCAATAAGGGGGAGACAGGGCATCTGAACCAAGCCCATGGGCCTATTCAGTAAAGCTGATCAGATCCCGGACCACTTCTAAGGCAGAAACCTTTATCTTAAATCAGGGAGTCTCACACTGAATCAATACATGTATGAATATATCTTACAATTGAAAGGTATTAGATTCAATTCACAAAGCTGACACACCAGGGTAAGGATTTTTTTTTTTTTAAATGATAGTTTATTTTAAGCTGAGCCCAATGAGATTTAAACATTACAGTCACATGGCTAAAAGAAAGATTCTTATTCTTGGGTAACTGGACCTGCAGCCATCAGCAAAAAGGGGTACAAAGGGCATCTGACTCAAGCCGGCAGGCCCATCCTGTAAAGGAGTTAAGCTCTCAGACTACTTCTAAGGCAAAAACCCTTCAATAGCTGGGGTACTTGAATGCATTTGTATGATGTAACTCCTGAGTGTAGTGTCCCTTTAAATCAGGGAGTCTCACATTGAATCAGCAAATGTATGAAATATCTTGGAACAAATGACAGGCACACTTAGACTCAATTCACAAAGTTAACACACAAAGATAAGGATCCTCATTGTCAAAAAAAGTGAGTTCTTTTCAGTTGAGTGTGATGAAATTTGAAAATGACGGTCGCATGGCTGGCGTTCAAGCGTGGCGAATCGCGCCTGTAGAATATATTTCACTTTAATACGCCCAGTTCTAACATATCGGGAAAAAATACATTTTGGGAGTCCAATGACAGAAAACCCCCCCTCTTAAAAAAAAACATAAAGTCTTAAGATTATATATATATATATATA